CCATGCCAAACCTTTGATAAGTGTAAACATGATGAAATTTCCCCCACTCTTTAAAACTGTAGTACTACTCTGCACCCTCCCCACCACAACTCCCTATTTCTTCCCCTGACTTCTCTCCATGACACATTATCTACTAGTGATGCATAGAGTTTGCTTACTATTTGTCTCTTTCCATCAGAATTTAAGTTCCAAAAGGGCAAGAAGATCATGTCTGTTAAATTCATTGCTAGTCTCAGCACGTAGAAAAATAGTAAGAACCACTGCAAGTTGCTTGTTAAATATTTATCATATGAGTGAACTATTCAAGTACAATAAGTTTCAAAAAGTGGAAGAGGGTTAAGGGTAAGATACATCATTACTTTAAAAATTACTATGCAAAGCCAGGTGCTGGTGGCTCACGCCTGTAATCTTAGCTACTCTGAGATCTGAGGATCACAGTTCAAAGCCAGCCTGGGCAGTAAAGTCCATGAGACTCTTATCTCCAATAAACCACTAGAAAACCGGAAGTGGTGCTGTGGCTCATGCAGTAGAGTACTTGCCTTGAGCTGAAGAGCACAGGGACAGTGCCCAAGCCCAGAGTTCAAGCCCAAATTACTATGCAAGCAGGCGCTAGTGGCTCACACCTGTAATCCTAGCTACTCAGAAGGCTGAGATCTGAGGATCACAGTTCAAAGGCCATGAAATTCTTACCTCCAATAAAGCACCAGAAAACTGGAAGTGGTGTGATGGTTCATGTGGTAGAGAACTCAACCTTTAGCTGAAGAGCTCAGAGACAGCTCCCAGGCTCAGAGTTCAAGTCCCATGACCAACAAAAAAAATTACTATGCATTTATGCAGAGCCAGTGGCTCCTGTCTATATATAATCCTAGTTACTCAGGAGGCTGAGACCTGGAAAACTGAAATTTAAAGCCAGCCCAGGCAGAAAAGTCCAATTAGCTAGCAAAAAACTGAGTTGGAGGAATGGGCTCAAGTGGTAGAATGTTAGCTGAGCATGCAAGCACAATTATTAGTATAGTCCCTCCCCATTGCTTTGTATTTATGTTGTATAAATTTATTTTCTTGTTTTCTTCCAAGCAAAGAGAGTGGCTGTGCTGGCTTTGTATTCAGTGAAGTTCTGAGGCCAAAGCACTAAGTTTTCAATGTATCTAATTAACCAAAGCCTCCTCAGGCTTGGGAGAACTGTGGAGATCCTTGGGGTAGTAAATCTTCAGACCAGTAGAATAAGTACAAAGTCTAGACTATGGGTGCTAATGGGTTAAGAACATCCTTAATATCTGCTTTCTGACCACACACCCTCAGCCTGACCTGCTAGCTGACATTCAGTCAACCAACTTTTTTGTTTTATTTTGTCAGTTGTGGGGCTTGAACTCTCGGCCTGGGCACTGTACCTGAGTATTCAGCTCAAGGCTGAGTGCTCTACCATTTGAACCACAGCTTCTGATTTTTCTGGTGGTTAATTGGAGATAAGTGTATCATGGCCTTTCCTGCCTATGCTGGCTTTGAACTGTAATCCTCAGATCTTAGTCTCCTGAGCAACTAGGACTCCTGAGCCACTGGCGCCTGACTTTGAAGTGAAGTTTAAGGAACAGATTGTTGACTATTATTGCCATTATTGGTGGCATAATAGCATTACAATTCCTTGGCTCTACTTAGGAGCTTCATATATAACTCAATTAGTGGCTGAAGATCAATCCAGCTATCAGGTATGACACTTTGCTATGCAACAATTGCATAAGCCGTCAACTATGATCAAATATACTTTTAAATGGCCTTAAAAGCTTTGTTAACACTGCTGTTCCTACTTGCTAATATTGTTATATTCTGTTTATCAAGGTGTAAGAGACTGTAATGAAATATAGAGAGGAAAAATTAAATCCCAGGATTAAATCAGGTTCTGTAACAAAATGCTATTCCTGGCTTAACCAGTATTTTTTGTTTCTTAAGACAGAGTTTCGCTGTATCATTCAGGCTGGTCTGGAACTACTGGTCATACACCAGACCTCTTGTCTCAGTCTCCAAAGTGTGGAGATTTATTTTTCATAACATGGGAACTGCTGCCACCTGCTGGTGATGTTATGACAGATCCAAATGCAAAAAAAATTGAAATGACTTTTTGAACAGCCTCAGGATTCTTATCTGATTAACACCACCACCACCCCAATTTGGTAGTGTTGGAGTTTAAACTCAAAAGAGTTTTGTGCTTGCTAGGCAGGTCCTCCATCATTTGAGTCACACCTTTAGCCTTTTAGACCTGGTTAACCAGGTTTTGCCAATATCAGGCTAGGCCACAAGTCCTATTTATGCCTGTTACTGTAGCTGAGATGACAGATGTGTATCACCATTCCCAGGAACACTTTGTTATTGACTGAGATGAGAGTCTCAGACTTTCCCCAGAGCTGGTTTAGAAGTAAAGGCATGAACCATCACATATGGCTTAATTATAGAAGAAAAAACTAGACAGAAAAAATAATTAGGATAGACTCCTCTCCTAAAAAATGACCTTACTGAACATGCTTATAGGTCTGGGAAGATAACTTCCAAGTCTTCTATCTGCCATCTCAGGATTTAATGAGGGGTAGGTCCTACTGACCCAAGAAGATAGTCTGTATAGTCTGATCATGGGTTGGAGACGTGGCCAGTGAGTAAAAGCAAGAATCAGCAAGTTAAGAGTCCTCATCTCTAGGGCTGGGATGTAGCTCAGTGGCAAAGCGCTTGCCTAGCAAGTGCAATATCCTGGGTTCGATCCCCAGTACCAAAAAAGAAAAGACAAAAAAATACAGTTAAAAAAAAAACCCAAACAAGAGTCCTCATCTCAGACCAAAAAAAAAAAAGTTTGATCAACTTGTCCAGTGTTGGATGTTTCAATTTTCATGGGCTAGAAAATAACTCAGGTAAACAGCCTAAAACTGCATAGGCAGTAAGTGAAGTATCCTGAAAAATACATGATTTACTAAAGTTACAGAAAAACTTCAATCAAAAATAATTTCATGCCAGACATCAGTGGCTCACACCTATAATCGTAGCTACTCAAGAGGCTGTGAGATCTAAGGGTCTTGGTTAGAAGCCAGAACAGGCAGTATAGTCCATGAGACTCTTACTCCCAATTAACCACCAAAAAGCTAGAAGCACAGCAGTGGGCTTGTCATAGAGCACTAGGCTTGGGCACAAAATATCAGGGACTGCCCGCACCAAGTTCAATCACCAGGACCCGCGCGCGCACACACACACACACACACACACACACAGACACCAAGTTCAATCACCAGGACCAACACACACACACACACACACACACACACACACACACGTTCAATCACCAGGACCAGCACACACACACCAGGACCAACACACACACCACAAATCAATCATTGATTTGCTGGGCATACTGGGATTATCTTGACAAGTTTTTTGGCTCCCAGACAACCCAGTCTATCAAGATGCAATACATATTACAAACATTACCAAAAATGGATGGCTCATACCTGTAATTCTAGTTACCTGGGAGATTTGAGATCTCAGAATCTCAGTTCAGAGTTAGCCTGGGCAGACAAACTTGAGACTATTTCCAAAAAACCAACCAAAAGCCAGGAGTAGAGGCCTGACTCAAGAGGTAGAATACCAGCCTTGAGTGGAAAAAAGGAAAAAGCAAAGATGACAAGATCTTGAGTTCAAGCTGGAAAAATAATGGATTAGACAACAGAGACAGGAATTCAGGAGACATAACTAAATGTAATAATGTGGTATCCTGGAATAGAGATAGGAAAAAGGAAAAAAACAAGGAAATCTGAATAAAATATGGACTGGGGCTGATTAATTGTGTTGGTTCATCAGTGTGAAAACTGGGTGTGGGATATTGAGGAACTGCTTTATCTTTGCAGTTTTGCACTGTCTAAAATTTAGATTCTTTTTAAACAAGATACATTTCAAATGACAAATGCAGTCCCTTAAATTATAACAAACACAAACCTGAAAAGTCACAGAGCTTTTATTTTGATTTAAGGGGGAAAAAGTTACTGGAAGTTTATCTCACTTATTAGTTTTAGACCCACAAATCTGTTATAAAAATCAAGAGACATGTCCTCTTTAAATGATTACCAAAGGACCCATGAGGTTCATGTCAATTTGCGTTAAATCTCAGCTCACATATAAAGTAGGCTCTCAAGAAATTAAGCTGGTTACAGAACTGTTGATTACATCTGGTACTTTTTTGACACAGCAACCTCATGTACTGCAAAGGGTAGTTAGGGTTACTCAAATATTCCCTTTTACCCAGAGACAAAACTGTGCCATCTTAAAATTAGCCCAAGTCTTAAAAACAATGTTTTACAAGCCCCACTGTCCCTGATAAAAGGATGAACAATTTGTACCTAAGAAAGAAAGAAACAGGCAAATAAGCAAGTCTTTTAAACTTATCCCCTTGTTGGGTTTTTTAAAATGTTAAGTGGAAAAAAAATCCCTCCTACTTATTTTGAAATACTTTATTATAGAGGTTTCTTCTTATTTCTATGACATCATCATCATCATCTGTAACAGCTAAAATAAAATCTTGGCCACTATTAGAAAAAAAATCCAAAACAAAGTCCTGTTCAAGCACAAATGTCACTCTCCTTAGGTATTTTTAATTCTTATCAACTTATTACTTAAATTAACTTCAGCTCTTATATAAATATGATCAGCTCTTATATAAATATGAAACTAAGTTGTTTAAAAAGAATGTGAACCCTAAAATCTAAGCTCAGTCACAAGCCCAGGTAATAATGATACATAATGTGAAAAATGCACCAGACTAGTTAGAATAATATTAATAATGCTCATCTAGCCATTTTTTGAGTAAGTTATATAGCTGGGAATGTAGCTCAGCAAAAGAAAAAAAAAAAAAGCACATGCTCATATTGCTTGAAGCCCTGGGTTCAATCCCCAGCTCCCCCAAAAAGTTAGTTTTATAGGTTGTCCTGGTGACCGAACAAATAAATAGCAGCAACTCTGTTCTAATCATAAGATGGTTTTTAAAATCACTTTTATTTTTAAGATTAATTATCCTCATTGACAATCCAGAAACACAATCCTTGCTGACAGTTAAAAAGGATTCCTTAATTTTCAATGTTAGGTTGAAAAAAACATGTTCACGAGGTGCAGTTGAATTCTTCTGTCCTCTTTTTCAAAATTATTGACCAAGTGGCTAGCAAGCCATGAGGAAAAGACAATTTTCCAAAAAGCCAACCAAACCAGAAAACAAGAATCTAGGTATCAAGCTAAAATTATCACCCAAAATACTGTGGTTGCAAGAAACAGTAAGAAGCTAAATTCCCACAAGCCATTAAAGATCTTTAAAAAGCATTCAGAAAGTTAGGACTAGAACTATAGTGCTGTGTACAGGTTCAAACCCAGGTACTGAAAGAACATATAATTTATTCAGCTTGGTTTGGAAATACTAGGCTTTCTCCTGTTTCAGCAGAGTAAATAAAAACGTGCTGCTGTCCTTTCCAACCAGGCAGGTTGGGGAAAGGGAGAAAATGTGGAATGAGGTAACAAAGACACATTTTTAGTCTCAGCTGTATTATTCAGGAAAGTGGAAAGGGCTAAAATTCTTCTGAGCCAGTTTCATTAATTTCTAGAATTGGCTCACAATCCATGGACTATGTATACCACTCATGAATAATTTAGTGAACTAGTGTTTGTGATATTAAAAACATTTTTAAAACAATTATAAATATTTGGAAAAGGAGATTGAAATGACACCAGGCCATCCAATCATTTAGAGAGTAGATGGTTTCATCCAAAGAGATCATTACAGAAACTGGGGTTGGAAGGAATGTGAGTAGTATGAATGAGATGGAGCTCTTGGTACAATGTTCTCAAGGCTTATCCACCTTAGTTGTGAGGAGTGAGCCCTAACAGAATGTCTCAGAGGGATGCTTTTCTGAGACTGCTCTTAAGTTTGACCCTTCTCCCTACCTAAGGCTTGGGAAAGAAAATAAATACTTTTTAACTATTCAGAGCTCTGGGCACATTATAATATTTAATATCCTATAGTTTTTCATTTTCTGAACCTTTGGCTTATAATTTTATCAATTTATGTTACATGGGAAAATGTATGAATGTGCCTTAATCAGTAGTATCAATGAAAATATAAACCTTGTTCTTTCTTATCTTCTTCACAGGAGTGAATGTATGGCACCCTAAATATCCTGCAAGGTTACTTTGTATACTTGACAGAAGATTAGGGCAAACCATTCCACTTCCATATCATAAGCAGAAGTGAACTAGTCTTCAATCTCATCTTCCCATACATCTCCATTAACATCTACAGCATGGAATAACCTAGAAGTAAAAAATACAGTATAAATTTATGAATTTGGACAAAACTAAAGATAATCTGCCTTTCTTTCTCTCAAAAAAACACTTTCTGTACTCTTCTGATAATATCTTCATGTATCTTTTAATCATTCCATTGAAGAGGGCTGAAATTTGAGTCCCTCTGAATAAGCTACTTTAAAATATATAAGAACATTCCTTTTAGGATCCAGACAAATTATTTAGAGCCAAGGATAAACAATATGGAGAATGAGTATTACAAAATTGATACCCACTATATACAATGTATGGAATAAGCCAAGACTGAGGAGTCCGGTATGGGAGAAGAAGCTACACACTTTCAAGACACTAACTCTAATCCATACTAATCCTTCCATTATCTTCACAGTCTTTGTAGCCTCACTGGTAGAATCTCTTGTGGTTGCCAATTTATCTTTCTTCCCCTATACTACCTAAAATGTATACAATTTCCAACACTGGGAAAAGCTTATTCAAGGGTAGGGATTACTTCTCTAACAGGAGCCTATCAACTGATGGTAAAATTAGAGCACTGTTAAGGAACAGAATATCTACACTGTATCAAGGAATCATTCCACAGATTTTACTTACTAATAACAAAGGGAACACTTCCCTTTGAAGTAAATGATAGAACAAAAAGAGACAGATAGGCTTCCAATAATCCCTTAAGTATTCTTGTCAAACATGGTACTCTACATCTAATCAAACTTCACTGAAACCTAACTTCCAGTTGAAAGCAAATAGAAACAAGCTAAAACACATCACAAAGGAACAGAACTCTAGAGAGCATGATATCATATGGATTCTTCAAAAAGCCCAATGTTCACCTCAATAAATAAGGTAGCCCCAAATTTTTCTGTATCATGAGACAAGAGACAGAACCAATTATATTGACTGGACTTGGTTAGCTCTTGGCTCAATAAAATGACCTTAAATAGGAATTTTGACAGATAACTGGGAAGTTTTAAATATGATGTTTATTAGATGATAGCATCATGAATTATCATTAATCTTTTTTAAGTATTATCATGGGCTGAGCATATGGCTCAAGGGGTAGAGCATCTGGCTCTCTGTTCACACCTAGTATAACAAAAGGTATTGTCATTATATAGAAGCATTTTTTTTGAAGGAATGGGGAAGAAGGAAGGCCCTGAAGACTGAACCCATCCCTTGCATATGCTAATAAGCACACATACTATAGTGAGTTCTATTAGCCCTTAGTAATATATTCTTATCTCAGGAGACACATATGGAAGTATTAAGGGTTGAAGTATTATCCTAACTCCAATTTATCTTCAGGTAGATCAGCCAAAATGTTGGGGGAAAAAAAGACTTTTGTTTACAAATCAGATATTAAAATTTTGCTGCAGAGTCTAAGAAGTCTATTTATACATACCTGTTGAAACATGGGGAATCAGGGTCAGTGAAGTGTTTGTAAGGGTTTGCCCTGGACAGAGAACCCATGCAAATCCAGCAGAAATACTGCATACAGCCAGTACACGTCATCTTGTTACACCCATCTAGTTTCTGATAGGAAAGAGAAAAAAAGATTTCAAGGATGTGAAAGTATAGAAGTAACACACAAACCCAAAGATTCCGTATAATAGTCTCAATCTTCTCCCCTCGTTTTCCTTGGGCTGGGCCGGGGGCTTGAACTCAGGGCCTACCCACTGTCCCTGAGCTGCTTTTGCTCAAGGCTAGCATTATACCACTTGAGTCATAGCTCCACTTGTGGCTTTTTTGGTGCTTAATTAGAGATAAGAGTCTCATGGATTTTCCTACCCAAACTGGTTTCCAACCTCAAATCTCAGCCTCCTGAGTAGCCACAGCACTCAGCTTCTCCGTTTCTCATGAAAAATTGAAGCATGCATGAGGCATACTGAAAAGTAATGCTTAATATTTTATATTACTAATACAGAAAAAATATGAAATTCCTACAACTAGATACCCAGCAAAATCTTTTCTGATAAATAGTAGATACAACTCAAACATTGATGACTGGAACATGTAGTTTAGCTTAGTACTAAATTTTTTACATAAATCTAAATATTTGGTATCAAGTTTCAGAGCTAAGCCATGTCATCAGTAAATTAAAGTCAGAGCTGAGTGTTGGTGGCTCACACATGTAATCCTAGCCACACAGAATGCTGAGCTCTGAAAACACCTTTAAATCCAGTCAAGTCTGTGAGATTCTTATTTCCAATTAACGAGAAAAAAGAAATGGAGGCATCGCTGAAGTGCTAAGAGTTAGCCATGAGTGAAAAAGCCAAGCAAGAATGAGAAGCCTTGAGTCCAAGTAAATAAGTAAACATTTTTTAAAAATAAATGAACGGGGGCGGGGGAGGGGGAGGCTGGGAAGGGATGGGAAGGGTAAACAAAGGAGGAGGCTACAATGCTTGATAAGAAATGTACTCACTATCTTGCCCATGTAATTGTAACCCCTCTGTACAGTATGTTCACAATAAAAATAAATAAATGAACGTACACAATACTGAGGTAACAGGAATCACCATTAGGTTCAGTTCAGACACAAAGGATCAGAAAGATAGAATCAAATGCAAAGATACATTCTAATTCTAAAACGTTAAAATTTTGGGAACAAGCAATAGATGTGTCTAATTACTTTCTACAAATCAATGAAAAACATGACTCCACTTCTTGAGTGTATTCGTTAAACAGATGTGCTGTCTTCCAGGATAAATACTTCTAGGAAGTCAGATACACTTTTTGTTAATCACATAGAAGAGTTCAGAGTTGATTGCAGCTTTGGGATGCTCCCCTATAACCTGCTATAGTTTGAATCCTCAGAAACTCATGTTAAGAATGTAATTTTCCTCATGAGAGGTATTAGAAAGGTTGAAATGCTATCCAACTATGGATTTTAGAAGTAGGACCTTTGGGATGAGATTAGGATTAGATAGTCATGGTTAGGGGGAGCTATGACTGGATAGTGATGGCTTATTAAGGAGAGAGGGAGAGGGAGGGAGAGGAAGGGAGGGGGAGAGAGGGAAAGGCGGGGAAAGGTACAGGAGAGTGGCAGGGGAAGAGGGGAGGGGAAGAGGGGACAGGGGTGGGGGAGAGAGGGGAGGGGAGAGAGGGAGGGAGGGAGGGAGGGAGAGAGAGAGAGCAGACCAAGAGCACACTCACTCTCCTGTCTCTCACCATGTAATATTCTGTACTGCCTCAGACCTGCCAGCAAGGCTATCGCCATGGTGATGATACCAAATGGTGCCCTTCAACCTTGGACCATAACATGGCTGAAAGAATTGTTTCTATCCTTGTAACTTAGCCAGTCTATGTCTATTATTGCTTTTTTAGCAATAGAAATAGGCTAAAGAATAATCCTCTCCATTTTGAAGTGGATATAATGTGAAGACAATTACTTCCATACCAAAGCACTTTGAAAAAGAAGCCTATGTACATTAAAGGTCAATAATAATATTTAGTTGTGAACTTTGCATATTCCAAGTAGGAAGGTTTAGTAAATATTAAAATACATGTCATAAGACTGACTACTAGATTTCCTAATGTAAGGTAATCATCACATGCTTTCAAATGTGTTTGCTTCCAAGTGTGTTCCAAAGCATTCACCTCTATGGGAGTCCCACAGCAGGGGCAGCTCTTTGAGTTCTTTTCCAGCCATTCCTTACTTTCCATCTCTTCCAGAGCCTTCTGAATCACCCTCTTACCATACCTCTGTTCTAAAAATCTTTTATTCGCTTCATCTGCTTGCAGGTATTCATTTCGTAAGTCTATTAGTTTCTCTAGAAAGTTGAAATAGAAAAGTAACTTTCATGTAACTTTGCAATGCTAAAAGTCATTAAAATGATCATAATCTTTGTTCAATGTTATTCTTGGTCTTTAGCAGAAGAACACAGCCTAAAGTCATTTACATGGAGATGCATTTAACACATTTCCAAGGAAATAATTCATCAAAAGTCATTTGATGACGTAATATTTAGTTATTAGAAACTTATAATTAGGATACCTACTACCCTGACTCAAACTTCATTACAGAATCCAGAAAAAAAAAACACAACTATGTGAAAATTTTACACATATACAAATGATAAAGGAAGGAAAACAATTCCCCAATTAGTTGCTAATGCCAATAGAAGGTTCTTTCCTTTGATTTCTTAGTGTTGATAATGTTTATGCAACTGGTAGCACAGATAAAAGACCTAGAGGGCCTTTTGATGTATTACAGTGACAAAGAATTTGCCTAGTGTGTAGAAGGCCCTATGTTCAACCCTTGTACCAGACCAGAAAATAAACAGACACAAAAACCTGGACACTGATTTTTCACTAAGTCAAAAATTTGGACACTGATTTTTCATTAAGTCACCTTTATTCACCATTTGATAATGAACAAATTTTACCAATACAAGGTAACTTTGGATTAGGGTAAAGACTGACTAAACTGTTCAATTTTGCATATAATCAGTAAATCATATTTATTACCCTCATATTTATTACTATGCTTGTTACTCGTGTTAAAAAGTTCTTCCTGGAAGCTTTTCACCAGGCTTCTAGTGCTCTACCACCTAACTGAAATGGAAAAGGCAACCTTTTATTTCTGAAACACCATGGGAAGGGAGATTCCAAGGCCTCTCTGGGCTCAATGAGAAAACATTTGATGACTGATCACACATACATGCAGAGGAAATCAGAGGTAAGATTCCCAACATTTGTTATCAAGGATCTACATTATTCTGTGCTCACAGGTAGAAATTACCTTACCATTTCTTTTTCTGGAATGCCATCCTGAATGTCTTCATGTTTTTCCCTGCTTCCTTCAAATTTTTGTGTTTTTTTTTGTCAGTCAATGGAGCTTGAACTCAGGGCCTAGGCATTGTCCCTGAGCTTTTACCTCTAAAGCTAGTACTCTACCACTTTGAGCCATAGCTCCACTTCTGGTATAGGGGTGGAGATAAGAGTCTCACAGACCTTTCTATCCAGGTTGGCTTCAAACAGATTCTCAGATCTCAGCCTCCTGTATAGCTAGGATTACAGGCATGAGACACCAATGCCTGGCTTCCTTCAAGTTTTTAAACCATTCTGCCCTGGGGTTTCTCCTGATTTGCCTAAGTAAAAGCCCAAGTCCTCTCTCCCTTCGAATTTCACATCTTGTCCCTGTGCTTGCCTACATTTCCTCCTTAGCACCTACTACCACCTAATAATCTACATTTACTTTGTTTGACTGTTACCATCATAAGATTAAGTTCCACAGAGCAAAGATTTTGTCTCTACTGGTGACTACAATATCCCCAGAACCCAGTATAAAAAACTAACACAGAAATACCTGTTGAATGAGTACTTCTAAATTTATAAACTGAAGTCATAAGCATTTATGAGGAGGGGTAGATAATGGATACCGCTGAAATTCATGTGATTAAAACATACCTGCAGTCACCTTACATGGAGAAACACCATGGTAGGTCAATCTACACAAGGTACAGAAGGCAAAATTGCAGCTGGAGCAGATAGCCATGGTACAGCCAGGCTCCTGCATCACAGGCAGCTGGCAACAAGGGCGGGGACAGTACACCACATCTGCCATCAGGTCCAAAGTAGACTGGAGAAGAAGACGGTCATAACGAGCAAATAACTCTGCTTCCACTAGTTCTTTGACCTGGAGGGGGAGGGAAATATAAAACAGCATAGATTTGAGTTTCCCTAACCATTTCTGATCCTGAAGAGATTCTTAGGAGGATGATGTAAAATAGATGATCACAGAAATTAAAACCCATCTCATTCAGAATCAAACCAAATATTACAATAGTCTGTTATCCTGACAAGTAGTGATTACATGAATCTACACATCTGTCAAATATAAACTGTGTAATTTAAGTGGGTTCAGTGAATTTTACGTTATATCTTAATAAAGTTGACTTTAAAAAAGAAGTAAAGGAGGAGTCCAAAAGTGTACCTCTTCTGAAGAATTTAGTGAATACTAAAAGAAGTGGAAACATGTTTTGGAGGGAGGGCAAAGAGGGAGGAACAAATGAAGGGTGAGCAAATGCAGTCATTGAATTATATAACTTGAGGATAGGAATGGGAGGCAGAAAACGAGAGAGAATGAAGAAAAAAGGGTAACACTGATCAAGAAGCATCGCACTCATAATCTGATTTAAGGAATAGTACCCTCTTTGTATAATTACTTAATAAAAACAAGTACACTGTAGTTATAGTAACATCTGTAAATGATTCAGTTAATCATTCCAAAGGCCATCCCTTTCAGGTCCCAACCTCACACCAAGAAAGACGATTTGCCAGGGCTGATGGATTCCTAGCAGACAGAATATACCATCAGGATTAATTATTAATTAATTTTTTTTAGCAGTCTAAGACTGCTCAGTCCAAAGCTAGCAAACATTCAGATTTGTTTGAATGGTAGAACAAGACCATAGCGTTCTGAATGGATACAGTAAAAACACCTTGGGGACTGGTTCCAGAGCTTTAGATTACCCCATGGATCCCTATCAAGGATGATCTTGAGATCATGGTGGTAGAACACTTGTCTAGCATGTGAGGCCCCAGATTTGAACCTCCAGCACTGCAATCAATCAGCAAATATTTTTAAATTCTTGTGATGAGCATTGCAGTGGATGTTTGCAATCCAAGCACTTGAGAATCAGAGACAGGATAATCAGACATTTAAGGCCAGCTTGTTTCCCAAGCACAAGCGTGTGCGCTCAAATACACACACACACACACACATACTCTCATTCTCTCTCTCTCTCCATGAAGTTCCTGAGAAGATGACTCCTTTTGTGAAAGAAAACTGAGAAACTACCATTAACAGAAGAGTTACCTGACCAGGAGTGGCCACTGAAGGGCACTTTGGTTCTGGGCAGTTGAGGCATTGAACTTGGCCATCTTTGATCTGGATTTCAAAGTAGTCCTTCAGACAGGCTTTGCAATACACATGCCTGCACTCCAGAAAGTACATGCATTCACTACCCAGTTTCTCACAGAAACAGATATTGCACAGGAATAATTTACTATTGAAGCATTTCATCTGCTGAGCTTGATCAAAGTCCAAGATTTCCTGGATAAGACTTGACAATGATTCAACATCCTGAACAGCTCTCTCATCTACAGCTTCCTCTTGGTTTACATCAGATCCTGTGGCTCCTCCAAAATCTAGCTCTGTGTTGGAAGAGGCCTGAGCCATCCTTCTCTGTACTTTTTTCTGAGGATCCATCTTGAGTTCAAAAGGAGAAACAATATTCAGATACGCTAGGGTCTCTTCCTTAAGAAACTGCATCCAAGCAAACAGGACCACGCTGCCTCGGTGTTCTTCCCACAGGTTGTCTAAGTGCTTGCAGAGAGCAGAGAGCTAGGAGAAAGCACATAAGGATGCTGTGAGTCTGGAAAGATGACAACACCAACTCCTGATATTCCTTGAATCTTTTTAAATGCGTAAGTTAGGCCATTATACTTCCTTTTTTTGTTGTAGTTGTTCCATTGTGGGGCTTGAACTCAGGGCCTGGGCAATGTCCCTGCTCAAAGCTAGCACTTTACCACTTTACTACTTTGAGCCACAGCACCACTTCCACTTCCTGACATTTTTTTTTTACTGTGATAACCTATACTACAAAACAGTATCAAAGTTCAACGTTCTTACTAAAGTACTTTTTTTGTTTTTTTTTGGTTGGTGGTGGGGTCTGAACTCTAGGCCTGGACGCTGTCCCTGAGCTCTTCAGATCAAGGCTAGTTGCTCTACCACTTGAGCCACAGTACCACTTCCCACATTTTCTGTTTATGTGATGCTGAGGAATCGAACCCATGGCCTCGTGCATGCAAGGCAAGTACTCTACCGCTGAGCCACCTTCCCAACCCTATTTCTTTTCTTTCTTTTTTTTTTTTTCCCAGTCCTGAGGCTTAAACTCAGGGCCTACCCATTATGCCCTGAGCTTATTTTGCTCAAGGCTAGCATTCTACTACTTGAGCCAAATGCCACTTCCAGCATTTTTCCCTCTCTATGTGGTACTCAGGAATCAAACCTAGGGCTTCATGCATGCTAGGCAAGAACTCTACCACTAAGCCACATTCCCAGCCACCTCTAAAGTACTTCTTAAGGTATTTAGCAACAGGAGCTAGAATAAAATTCAAGCTCAGACACTAGAAGTTCCACAATGACAGGAGAAATGGCAAAACTCCCTAAACTGTTTTAACTAGATTTGCATTGGAGCTGCTTTCAGGGCTTTGTTCTATATCTTGTTTAAGCATTGTTCTATTTCTCATGTATGAGAAAGACACCTAGTTCTAAAATGAACTATTACTTTCTTTTCCTTTCGAAGTCCTAGACCTGCAGATACCGTGGAATAATGGTTAGAAAAAAAAATGGTTTAAAATACCATCTAGTGATAGAGCTCAGTGGTAGGGTGCTTTCTACCATGCATAAAGCCATGAGTTTGATCCCTAACACTTTGAGAAAAACAAAAGAACACCCAAGAAAGGACTAGTCAGTCTTTTCAATATATGGTACTGTGAAGTTGTACATCCACAAGCAGAAGAATGAAGTTAGACCCCTGTCTTTCACCAGTTACAAAAATAAACGCAGAATGAATTAAAAGACTTTAATAATGTAACACCTGAAATTATGAAACTACTAGAAGAAAGCACAAGAGAAATGCTTTGTCCATTGGAATGGACACAGATTTTTGGACACCATCCCAAAGGCATAGGAAACAGAAGCAAAAATAGACAAATGGTGTTACATCTTACTAATAAGTCTTCTGCACTGCAGAAGAAACAACCAAGTATAGAAACAATCTACAGAATGGGCCAAGTATTTACAATGTATACATTTGGTAAGGGGTTAAAATTCAGATAATAAGGAACCCAAAACTCAGTAGCAACCCTCACTCCATATAATCTTGACTTTAAAATAAGCAACAAGGGGTTGGAAGTACAATTCAGTGGGAATGCTTGTTTAGCATACAAAAGGCCTTGGGTTCAATCCCCAGTACCCTCTATCCCCCAAAAGGAGCAATAAACCTAAAAGACATTTCTCAAAAGAAGACATACAAATAGCTAACAAGGCACATGAGAAAATGTTCAATATTACTCATCAGGGAAATGCTATATCAAAACTACCTCATCCCACTAAGAATGGCTATAATAAAAGGCTAAATGCTGGCAAAGATACGGAGAAAAGGGAACACTTACATGGTGTTGGTAGGAATATATATATATATATATATATATATATATATATATATATATATATATATATAT